TGAGAATGTGTTTTTAAAACTCGGGTCTTCAATTCTCCCCCCCCCCCCCTTTAAAAGAAGATTTCGTCTCCGAAATCGAATTTAGAGATAGGGAATTTACATTAGTTTAAAAAAATCTGGGTACTCCCGACGCATATGTTCTTCAGTTTTCCACGTTGCCTCACATTCCGAGTGATTCTTCCAAAGAACTTTTACATAAGGAATCACTCTCTTTCGTGTACCTCTCTCATCGCGGTCAAGAATTGTCTCAGGCTCCTCATGATAAGATATATCATGCTCTATGTGCTCCAGAGGATATTCAATGACGTGTAGGGGATGATAGTTGTATTCTCGCAACGAAGAGACATGGAACACATTATGTACGTGAGACAATTATGGTGGTAGAGCTAACTTGTAGGCCACAACTCCAACCTTTTCCAGAATTTCAAAAGGATCAATATATTTCGGGCTGAGCTTCCCTTTGAGACCAAAACGTCTAATACCACGAGTCGAGGAAACCTTCAAGAAGACTTTATCACCCGAATGGAACTCGATAGGTCGTCGTCGCTTATCAGTATAGACGAGCCTAAGCCACATTCATCATTTGACATGCAATTTCGACCTTCTCGGTAGTGACTTGTACTAATTCTGGGCCTTCTAAAATACGTTCTCCAACTTCATTCCAACAAGTCGGTGTTCAACATTTTCGGCAATAAAGTGCTTCATATGGGGCCATGCCGATACTCGACTGCCAGCTATTATTATAGGAGAACTCGATTAGATACAAGTAGTTATCCCAACTTCCATGCCATTCCAGCGCACATGCTCGGAGCATATCCTCCAATGTTTGAATTGTACGTTCAGATTGCCCATTAGTTTGTGGATGAAAGGCTATACTAAAATTCAAACGTGTGCCCCAAGTTTTATGTAAACCTTCCCAAAATCGAGATGTAAAACGTGGATCTCGATCGGAGGTAATCGATATAGGTGTGCCATGAAGACGCACAACCTCACGTTGGAAAATTTTTGTCAGTTTATCAATTGACCAAGTTTGTCGGACAAGAAGAAAATGAGCCGATTTTGTSAGTCGGTCAACCACTACCCAGATTGCATCGTGTTTCAAGATCGTACGAGGTAATCTGACTACRAAATCCATAGTTATGTGCTCCCATTTCCATACTGGAATGTTCAATGATTGGAGAACACCACCCGGACGTTGATGTTCAATTTTAACTTGCTGACAAGTGAGACAACGAGCTACAAAGTCGGTGATATCTCGCTTCATTCCAATCCACCAGAAATGGTTCCTCAAATCACGATACATTTTTGTTGTTCCAGGATGAACCGAAAACATAGAGTTATAAGCTTCGGTCAAAATTAGATCTTTAAGCTCCGAGTTATTCGGAACACAAAGACGATCCCGAAACCACAACACGTGATCATCATCGATTCTGAACTCTGAACTAGAATTCTCTTGTGCCTGTTGGAAATTTTGCCCATAATTCATCATTTTGCTGGGCTTCTTTGATTCGAGAGATTAGAGTCGGTTCTACCATTAGATTTGATAGAATTACCGTTTGCGAACTCAGATAGATTTCAAGTCTGAACCGTTCGATTTTCAAAGCCCACTCTATAGAAACAATTAAAGAAGAAACTTGTTCCACAGCTTTACGACTTAAAACGTCGGCGACTACATTAGCTTTGCCCCGATGATACTGTATCTGAACATCGTAATCTTTCAGAAGTTCGAGCCACCTTCGTTTACGCATATTTAACTCTTTTTGAGTAAAGATGTATTTGAGGCTTTTATGGTCAGTGATAACTTCACAGATCTCACTGTACAAAGTGACGTCAGATCTTGAGTGCAAAGATGACCGCAACCAATTCGAGATCATGAGTCGGATAATTGACCACATAAAGCTTTAATTGATGAGAAGCATATGCGATCACTTTTCCGTGTTGCATAAGAACACAATCGAGACCTTTCTTTGAAGCATCATTATAGACTTGAAACCCACCAGTGCCAGACGACAATACAAGAATAGGTACGGTAACCAATCGATGCTTCAATTCCTCAAAACTAGATTCTTGTTCGGAACCACAATTGAATTTGACTCCTTTCCGGAGTAATCGAGTCAATGGCAGAGATATTTTAGAGAAACCTTCAACGATCGTCTGTAATAACCAGTCAGACCCAGAAAACCACGAACTTCAGATACRTTCGTAGGTCGTGACCAATTAGTGACGGTTTCAATTTTCGTCGGATCAACTTTGACACCTTCAGCGGAGATTACGTTTCCGAGAAAAGACACTTGATCGAGCCAGAACTCGCATTTGGGAAGTTTTGCGTATAACTTTGTTGTTCAAATAGTCTCCAACACAATTTGAAGATGTTGATCACGTTGCTTTCTTGATTTTGAGTAGATCAGGATGTCATCAATAAACACGATAACAAATYCATCGAGATAATCCTTGAAAACCCGATTCATAAAATCCATAAAGACCGTTGGAGCATTAGTTAGCCCAAAACGCATTACTAAAAATTCGTAGTGCCCATAGCGAGTTATAAATGCGGTTTTCAGAATATCACAATCTCGGATACGAAGTTGATGGTACCCRGACCGAAGATCAATTTTGGAAAAGTACTGTGCCCCTTGTAATTGATCGAACAGATCATCGATTCTTGGCAACGGATACATGTTACAGATCGTTACTTTATTAAGTTCCCGATAATCGACACAAAGACGCATTGTACCGTCTTTCTTTTTAACAAAAAGAACTGGAGCTCCCCAGGGTGAAACACTGGGCCGAATGAAACCTTTCTTCAATAGATCATCGAGTTGATTTTTAAGCTCTTTCATTTCAGTTGGAGTCATTCGGTAGGGAGCCTTGGAAATAGAAGAAGCTCCCGGGACTAGATCGATGGTAAATTCGACTTCCCGTACCAGAGGTATACCCGGTAAATCATCGGAGAACACATCAAGATATTCAGAAACAACAGGTATGGATGCAGAAGTAGGAAATACCTGTTCGGGATCTTGTAGAGCAGCAAGAAAACTTTTATTGCTTTAGTAACAGAGACTATTGCACTAACATCTTCTTTTGGAGTATTTCCTTGGAAGATTGCCTCTAGGTTGTCTATATCCCCAAACAAAATTTGTTTGGTATTACAATCTATAGTTGCACGATGATGTGACAACCAGTCCATACCCAGTATTAAATCGAAGTAAGACATATGCATTAGAAGCAGAGTGACCTCTCGTATGCAGTCCTCAATAAGCAACGAACAGTTGGAAAAACGAGTTAGCACACAAGTTGAACCACTCATTGGGGTAGATATTACCACTGGAAATTCGATGGTTTGCTCATACGGATTTAATTGGGATTCTAATTGTTCAGAAACAATTGAGTGTGTCGCACCAGTATCAAACAAAAAATAAACAGATAAATCAATTAATTTAACATGACCCGAAATCATACCCGCTTGAGATTTGCTGCCAGGTAATGCAAAGACTTGCTCACTAGTACTTGGTTGTTTTCCTTTCCTTTTGTCAGTTTGGATCCGAGTCTTAGGACAATCTTTTTCCATGTGACCTTGTTCTCAACAATTGAAACATGAACCGGTCATCTTTAAACACGGACCCGGTCGATGACTAAGATTGCATCGATCACAATTAATAACAGGGCTAGAAACATTTTGACTCCCACTGCTAGACAACACTGGAAGTCGTAGCATGAATAGATTCTAGCCTTTTTGCATATCGTTACTCGACTTTGATTTTACATAACGAGGGTTGCTTCTGGAGAAAGATTCAGTTCCGCATTTCTTATTGTCAACGCGTGAAATTAACCACTGTTGTCGTGACCGATCAATATTTTTTGTTGCGTCAGCCACTTCAATAACGGTATTGAAAGGATGATTCAAGAAACGATCTTTATATCTTGAGTTCAAAGTCCATTTAATGAAAATTGAGAAGGACTAAGGTTTTTGTTTGTTAAACCTTTCAAGCCATATATATATATATATATATATCTCCCATTGGTTACTCGAATTGGTATAGGAATTCCAGTATTAGGTGTAGGAACAGGATTTGGGTTTGAAGGAAGATTATGCGCTGCTTGTTGCATAGCCTGAATAGCCTGCTGCAGATATGTAGGCATCATACTTGACATGGTATAGTGGACCACATTAGCATTATTTGGTTCACTTCCACCCCCTATTGGATTGGGGTTGGGTTTTGGGTTACCCTCAAGTTGAGATCTGGATTTGCGTGGGTGACCACATCTCGACATTCTAAAACAAAACGACATGAAAATCAAAATTCAAGATAGATATGGATCAAAAAACGATAGATAGAATCAAAGCTTAGTATACCTGTTCTTATGTCTACCCATTTCTCACAGGTCAAACTTACTTAATCTACAAGTCAAAACCTATGCTCTGATATCACATTTGTAATATCCCCCGTCCCCATGGTCCGGAATGGGCGGTGTCACTAACGGGACTTAATTCAAAGACAGAAACATTGTAGAGCTACTAATAAACTCCAAACGTAGAATAACTTCTAAAACATGCTTTACAATCCAAAATATTACATTCTAACAACTATTTATAAGCTTAGAATATTATACATCTACAAACGAGTTTACAAACTCCAAAAGTCAAACGCTCGATCTCAAGTCCCGTCCTTTTATCAGTATCACTTGGAACATGTCGTGTCAGAAAACAGGAACACGGCTGAGCACGGGGCACAGTGAACAGATTGTAATATAAACTTGAAATAATAATACGTGATATCGATAATAAAGTGGAAGACTTAAAAATCAATTAAACTGAATTCATAGAAATCAAGACGTTTTACAGTTCTCATTTCAAAACATCATTTAAACACAATTCGTCAATTCATGTGGTGTTTGTGGGGTGGCCAAACCACACGAACTATCGGGCCGGCGTGCGGGCACACACCCCGAGTCCCCCGTGAATTTAACCACGGTCACATGTGGGTAATCCTAGGATCGATTCATCCACCCTGGAGCCAATAAAATCGGCCTAGTCCACATGGTGGGTTCACATAAGCCACTATTGGGCTTAACCCCTGTGGACCGAATTCACCTGCAGGACGCCATGACTACAAAGCCGCAATAGAAGGCATCTCAAATAATGTGCCCATTAATTCGGTTGTTTTGAAAACCAATAAAACTAAACATGTGCCACTACCCGGATGGCGTTCATAAAAAGTCAATCTTCAAAGTACTTCATAAAGCTCGAAACTACTTCAAAATATGATAATCAATTTAACAAACTTGGAAGATTCAAACATACAATTCAACGGACTAAAATAAAGTGTTCACGATAAAGATCTAAGAGTTTACGATAAAGATTCAAGAGTTTATATATATATATATATACGTAATTTATTGACCACTTTTAAGCGATCAATCACGAATAGGTGAACCACCGTTACGAAGGGTTAACTACAAAAACTAGTTGCCCAAGAGTCAAAGAATGTGAAATCCGTACCTTAAGCAGAATAGAGAAGTAAACACGATCAAACAAGATTCAAGGTAAATTTCGACTTGCTCGCGTGCCTAACGAATGCGCAAATCGGTTATTACTTAAACAACGTAAGATCATATCCTAATTTTACTAATAAACTACATAGGTCCTACATGTTTATAAACAACTTAAACTTCAAATATGACAGCCGGATACGCATTGAAAAATCGACTCAACACTTAGCTTTATATAATTCCGTTTCGACTTTAACAGCTTTTGACCCTCATTTTCGGGAGCATTTTTATGCTACTTATAGATAAGTACATAAAATACTATCTAAATGAAAGATGTAGTATGATATGTGATGAAACTATTGGTTTTCGAATCACCTCATTCGGATTATCCGTCTATTTTATACGAATATTACAAAACTGTAGATCAATCCTAAATACAGTGTAAACAGCCCCTAAAACACACTGTTTCGAGCTACTTATATTCATAACTGGATTTCGATCCTACATGAAAGTTGTAGTATACATTAAGCGCTTTCTAATTATAAAATATGAGCTTATTCCGACTTACGGTTTGTAAGTTATACACTGTCAAAGTATGGACCTGCATAGTCGGTAAAATCTGATTCCGTAATTCCCGACTAACTTTTATAATCCAAATTTCATGATTCGCTACATTTACGTGCTATAAACATATTTCAACATGCTAAACAGTAAAACAAGTCCAATGGACACTAATCTAAGCTTAATCATGCAGTTTTACTAATTTCGGCATTATATCGAACAACTGGTGTGCGGTTAAACATATACACCAAATCTAACCATAATGAAACCATAATCTACCCTTTTAATTTCTACATCAATTTAACCAATCCTAACATTATAAACATGAAATATATCATACTTATAACAATATCCATCCATAAACTTAGACATAACATAATTTATAAACCGGTCTAAAAATGCTAACGTAAACACCCTAATAAAAGCGAATGAAATTTATATCTTTATGAAGGGTTCGAAGAGTGGATTCCGAATATATAATCGTTACTTCGATTGCTTCAACGATTTAAAAAATATTTTAGAGAGAAGAAAAAAATTAGAGAGAGATGTGAGGCGGTGAGGAAACGATGAAGAAGTAAAGTTTCATATGGTTTTGTTTTTTTTTTTCTTTAACTTATAATATATATATATATATATATATATATATTAAGAGTTTAGAAATTTGACGGTTTTAACCCCTTAATAATTACCAACTGTTATTTAAGTACGGTACAATTTGGGTAAGTTAACGAGAATGTGTTTTTAAAACTCTAGTTTTACAGATCATCTCCTCAGGAGATCAAACATTGGTACGATTTTGGTGCCATAAATTCGATATATCTAACTACTCCTGTTTTCCCTAAAATATCGAAATTACCTCACTGGATAATGATGGGTGTTATAGATTGTTATCTTAATAACCCAACAATTACTCCAAAAGATATATTGGTTCTAAAAAATTTATCTGCAGGACTAGACTTTTTTGAAGAAAATAGTGTTGGACCGGTAACTGCATTAGGGAGCCGCCCACGTGATATTGTCCGCTCTGGGTTGGTCAGCACAATCCCTCACGGCTTTAAAACGCGTCACTGGTAGGAGTAAGACTCCCACTTCCTTATAAGGAAGCCGAATCTCCCTAGCCTCACCGATGTGGGATGCTCCTGCATTGCTACAGGAGCGTTGGGTTTAAGATTCGCGGATTTGACCGGATCTAGGGAACGCTTAGGTTTTTCGGACCCAACATTCTCCCCCTACATTGGTGCGGCCCTAGCTCTGATACCAATTGTT